CACATATATGTATCAGATTAGTGTATAGAACCACTTAGATATGATGGGGAAACACCCTAGGGACTAGGAAACACTTGAACTAAGTGTTCAAAATCATATGTGATTGAATGAGGGAAGTTTACGGCCACACAAAGGTGTGTACGACCATGGGTTTGCGGCCCAAGAGTATATGGTCCATGGGTTTACGATCCATGGGTGTACGGCCAAGGAGTGTACGGCCTTACACTCTTGATGAAGTGTGCATTTTGAGGTGTTTTAAGGTCTTTTCTAGCCTCCCGGAAGTGTTCTAGGTCCCATGCATAACTTAAAGAAGAGTTTAAGGCTAATCTTTGACCAACAAGTAGGGTTTACGGCCATTAAGGTGTATACGGTCGTACACATGGGTTTACGGTCGTAAAACCTTCGTGTTCATGCTTAGTTGGTCCATTTCAAGGTGAAAATCAAGCATTTCTAGTAGATAACAAGCATAGGAAGCAGTTACTTACGATTTGGGAGCTTGAAGAGGGGTTTTAGCCACCAAAGAACTAGTGTATGTTCTTGGTGTTCTTGTTGAAAGATGAAGATCTAGCCAAAGATGAAATTTATGATATGAAAACAAGGATTTACCAGTAGATAAAGGAATGTAACAACAAATCAAGATGTGAAACACTTACATCTTTGAAGATCTTAGATGAAAACTCGATCAAGGTAGAGAGAGAGAGAGAGAGAGGGAAAGAGAGACAAAGAGCTCTAGACTTGAAGTGTGTAAACTGGAGAATGATATCTAAGTACCCCTTATATAGGCGGAGTTTTCGGCCATGAGGGGTGGGGGTGTACAGCCGTAAACTCATGTTTATGGCTGTACACTCCTCTTGAAGGAGTGTTTAGCACGAATGTTATGTTATGACTCATAATAACTTATCGCTGAATCTAAACCTTGATTGTACTGAGCTTAAAATACCCAAATAAACCCCTAACAATGCTAAACGATAGCAGAAACGAATCTGACTTAATTGATTTTGAACGGCTGAACAAAAAGAAATTTCGAGTTGTCACATCAGTCCCCTATTATAGGGAATTTCGTCCCAAAATTCAAACATATAATACAAATCACAGACTCGGAAAGAGATGCGGATATTTCTATTTCATCTGATCTTCGTGCTCCCAAGTGAATTTATGTCCACGCTAGGCATTCCAGCAAACCTTCATTATTGGTATGCGACTTTGTCTTGTTCGTTTGATCTCCCGATCCATGATATCGACTGATCCTTCCACGAAGTGTAAGCTCTCGTCTAGTTTGACCTCATCAAGGGGCATCACAAGTGCCTCATCGGACATGCATTTCTTTAGGTTCGATATGTGGAAGACAGGATGTACGTTGCTAATTTCTCGGGGTAAACGAAGTTTGTATGCTACAGGACCAATCCTAGCAAGGATCTCGAATGGTCTAATGAATCTTGGATTTAGTTTTCCATGCTTTCTGAAGCGTATCATGCCCTTCCAGGGTGAGACCTTCAATAGAACACGGTTGCCAACCTGGGACTCCAAGGTTCTTCATTTCTTATTGGCGTAGCTCTTTGTTTATCTCTCGAAGCCTTTAGTCGTTCCCAGATTTGTATGATCTTTTCTATGGTTTCACAAATGATTTCTAGGCCTAAGAGTGTCGTCGGGGACTTGTCCCTTGGCTAGCTACATGTCGCCCACCTCAGCCCAGCACAGAGGGGATCTACACTTACGGCTATAAAGGGCTTCAAAAAGAGCAACCTTGATATTAGTATGATAATTGTTGTTGTAGGAGATTTCGACCAAGGGAAAATAGACATCCCATGACTTACTAAAATCAATTACACATGCTCTCAACATGTCTTCCAATGTTTGTATGGTTCTCTCACTCAGTCCGATAATCTATGGATGGTAAGCGGTGATCCTATCCAACTTAGGTTCAAGAGCCTTCTATAGTGACTATCGAAATCTCGAGGTGAATCTGCTATCTCGGTAGAAGATGGTTGACACAGACACAACATGTAGACGAACTACCTTTTTAATATGAATTTGTGTTAGTTTTCATGCTTGTACTAAACCCCTTGGATGAGTTGGTAGTTCCGGATGGTTTGTTAGGTATACTTCGGAAAGGTTTCGGAGGATATGGTACTACTCACATGAGTACTTCGGGGTCTAGAATATGGGAGAGGCGATTCAGAGATCTATGTCGAGTTGTCGTTACGAGTGACAAGGGTCTCGATAATCGGTCGGTTAAGGTGGTGGGTTTTCGTAACATACGAACTTGGTATGGTGAGGACCACACTAATCCCTATCGAATGACGACACCGCATTCTTTATAGAAACAAGTGTTAGGTCGATTTGAAAGAAACGTCTATTATAATGATGATGTATCTAGAGTGTGATCGACAGTGTATTATGTGTAGGCTTTCTAGTGTTTTCTCGATAATACCACTGCCACAAATCGTACTTGCGAGAAGCGAGTACTAGTAATGAAAGTGCTTGATGACTACTGACGATACTTTATATTATGATTCTTCTCGGTACCTGTATGATCGATTGGCATATACAAGTTATTGATAATTAAAATGAATAAGACGGTCGACTGGGTGACTTTGCCCTAAATATTAATATTAATTTAGATTA